CAGCACCGAGCGTGAAGCAGAATGAAAGGCCTTGCAAAAATGTGTCTGCCGTGGACTTTAGATAACCTTTCTCTGAACGACTGTAAAACTATTATACACGTATTAAAGTACATGAATAAGAAAATAAGCCCCATTCATTCATATTCCTCTCAAAATTTATGAGGTGGTCTAGGGCTTAGTAAACCCCTTCTTAATAAAAAGTGAAAATTAATAATATAAACAGAGTCTTGCTAGGAATATTGAAAGACTTAAGGGAACAAACTTTTGAAACCCTGCGTCAGTGGGGGATGTCACCTACACACCGCTGGTTTACAGGTGGAAGGAGAGCATTAAATAGCGCCAAGCAGCCAGTACTTGTTATACTAGACAGAGAGCAGGCTTCAGAAGTAATGAAACTCTAGATCTTTAAAGATATTACACAATTAAGATTTTCAGTTAAATAAGGCTGACCTTTCTCCCTAATAAGAAGGTTTTATTATATAGAAATAGATATTACTATAATATGTGCAAAATAGGAATGCTGAAAAAGGCAGCCACTTACACCCTTCTGGGAGTTTTGCCTTTGGGTTGCTACCTATCCAGGAAGGTTCAGGAAGGGTCTGGAGCCCTGGGTACAGGCAGGGCAGAGGGTGAGGCTGTGAGGTCTTTGTCAGGAGAGCCTGCCCACACAGCTCTTGTGAACGTAAGTGGATTTACAGCTGCCTTTGATTTTTCCCCTCTCCTACCTTGAGCTTTCTATAGTGGGCTTCATTCTATAGGCCCTACAGGGTTTGGCTATGCTAGCTTAAACAAAGTTAAACAAAGTTCAACATGCTTTGCTGAGAGGCTTCTTGTGGCCTTCAATGTGGACATGGATCTTCCAGAGGGAGATGCATATGCATCATCTCCATACTTGGTTTGGAAGCTTTTCTGCTGAAATATCTCCTAGGCCCAGGTTGTCCAGAACACAGTCTAGAAAACACTATGGAACGCTGCACTGTAAAGCAGAACACGCACATCGGCTTTCATCTGTCAAGGGCAGCACTGTCCCAAGGACATTGGCTGGATGATCTTGCACGTCTGGCTCCTGCTTCTCTCCCCGGCCTCATTGCTCATCACACCCTCTGACACTCACAATCCAGCAGAGGGAACTGCCAGCGGATTTGCTGAAATGACACACCTCAGTCCTAGCTCCAGTGATTTCTCAGCTCCCACCGCACACCCACCACCACGTCTGCTGAATGACTTCTACCCGTTTGTCAGGACGGGCCTGGGGCAGCCTTCTGCACTCACTCGGAGCCTCATTCCCGAATGCCTCATTCCCTTCCATTTTAGTCTCACCCCCACATCTATTGTCCTGAGTCTAGCTGGTCTGGAACCATTTTCTACACACTCTACAGCTGTCTACCCGGTGCTGCCACAAGAACAAGACCTGGTGCACAGAAGCTCATGAGTAGATTTGCAGGAATATGCGCGCCTGCTGCGGGCTGCTGGGCGTTCAGGACTGGCCTCTCTGCGGGCAGGGAGGGCTCCCACTCAGCGCCGCTCACCAAGCACTCTTCGAGGGAAGCCAGTTCAGTTGCTCTACAGTACTACAAGTGGCACACAGACTGTTGTTTCTACACAGACCTTCTTCTAGACCCCGAGACCTCGGCCCTATCAATGGACACGGGACAAAGATGAAGCCATGGCCTAAGAAAAGGGGCTCTGGGCCAACTCCCCAGAACTGCCAACTCGGGCTCGGTGCCAGAGCCCCGACAACCTGAGGTAGGCATGTAGTCATCAGCCCGTGTCTCTCTGGCATCCAGAGAGGCGTCACCAAAGGCCGGGAGGCAGTCTCGGGGTTTCTTTCTCATCACTGCTGTGGCATCTCAGATGCCTTCACGTTCTCAAGTGTCAAACATCGGCTCCGAAGATGGGTGCCAAGCTCCCCTCCGGAAGCTTTGTTTGGTAGCAGATGGTCATAGCATCCGAGTGCCTGGCGGGGAGAAGGGACGAAAATGGCTTCCCTGCAACCCGGGCTTCTCCGTGACTTTCAAGGAGCTCTTTGGGATGTGATCGGCAAGCCCGGTGGGGAGTTATCCTGAGACTCACGTAGCCAGTAGAAAAGCCCCGGCTTCTCCAAGTCAGGCTGATCTTCTGTTGGCGATGGCGTTCACTTCCTCCTTCTCCCTTCCTCTCGTCCTGCACAATTAGGGTAGGTTTCCAACCAAGTGTGTCACCGTGGGGTGCTGCTGGGTTCATTTCCTCAAACACTCTTCTCCCATTTGCCATCGCACAGCCTCCTCACACTTCCTGCCCCCACGTCTGGTCCTGGAGCTGTGGCTGCCACCGCCACCATCTTGAAAAGACAAAAGATGTGTGGGGTGTGTGTGTGTACGTGTGTGTGTGTACCTATCCCATGAACAACCTTTGGTATTGACCACTCATGCACTAAAGTTGGCCAACAATGACTGTGGTTGTGTAAGAATAGCTCCACTTGCCACTGGGGAGCTGAGCTTGGGGGTGAAGCCACAGAGCGTACTGCTCCACCTGCTGCTTCCCCAAAGGGAAGGATGCAAATGCTTGTGTATTTTTGGGTTCCCTTCATGACAGGACAGGTAAGTGGCTTGCTGGGAATGACCACTTCTACTATCGTGATTTTTTTCTCAGATGATAAACTCCATGAAAAATTTAATTCCGAGTCTCAAGAAAAAGGAAGGGTTTGAGAAACCCAAGTCTCAAAACTGAACTAATGCTCCAGTCCCCCAAACTCGCTGCTTCTGTAAATAAAAGGGCCCTCTATAGGTGATGGAGGCCCCGGGGAGCGGGGGGGGGGGCTGTCTAGGAGGAGGGCTAAGAATTTAACTCCAGCAAAGAGAGAGCAGAGTGACTGCAGAGTCATAGCTTCCTTCTGCAGTGAAACCACGTGCTTCCTGGATTAATAGAGATATTATTTAGTGGAGATGTGAAAAAGACAAAGGCCAGGTCGTGATGTCTTTTTCTTATAATTTCTTATAATTTTCTGAATGTCTTTCAAATCTGAATTGTTGCTCTAAAACTCATTCAGTTTAATTTCCTAACAGACTTGAAGGAGGGGTGCGTGTGGTACAGGAGGCTGCAAGCTGACCGGCCAGCCCACCGCAAAAGGGTGGCAACGTCAGTCCCCGCGGCTTGCTCACGCTGCTGTCAGGGCTCAGAGGAAACCTCGCACCACGCGAATCAATATCTTGCTGTCCATTTTCCCATATGGCCCGGTGGATGTTAAAGATCTAGTTCACCATATAGACCTGATTAATTGAAGAAAAATATAGCTTCTTAGTGCTGACATTATGAGGTTAGAAATAGCATCCTATGCTAATCTGCAATGCCAAGAAATGAAGATGGTTTAAATCAGTTCTCATGACTAATGCATGAGATCCAAAGTTCTTTTATTCCTGGCTATTTCAGAAAATTGGGGTGTATTTTTACCCTAAAAAAAACTAATTCGATAAGATTTATGGAGATAATACAAAATGCCTTCTTATTAACAGCTCACCATCAAGAGACTGTCCTCTTCCTGGGGATCACAGAACCGCCGTTTCTCCATTTTAGTTTTAAAAAATTTATGTAGATGCAATGGATTCAAGGATACACTCAAGGATATTATATTTGCTCCTTAGTTGTTGTTACTGTTTTGTTTTGTTTTTTTTTTTTAAGATACTCAATATCTGGGAAGATGCTGGGGAGTTTGGATCGCTTTCTGTGGTGGCCGTTCCATTGGGATAGTGCTGTTGTGGATGGATTTACACCGAAAGAAATCTATCCAGCAATAAAGTAAGCCTGTTATTTTTGCTTGTTTTTGCTTTGGTCATGACAAACTGTGAAATGCTGTGTTTTTCCTATAGCTCCAGTCCATGAAATCTGCAATCTTTCCACTTGATTTGCGAAGGACCCTTAATTACCGCTGTCATTAGCACCTAGTGTTCAAAACAGTCTGTTAAACTGCAATGTGAGTCTCACCTCCACGTCCCTGCCTGCTTTATTTTCCTTTTTTTTGCCAGGGTAAGTAAAAACAATAATTCCCTTAATACCAACAATCATCACAGACAGCGAATGGAATAATCTCCCAACTTTGGGGGGTGCCTCTGCCTTGCGCTTCAGAAATAATTTCGGCGTCTGCGTGGGGACCGGCCTAGAGTTGGGGCAAGTGTCCAGAAGCAGGGCTGGCCCGGCCGGGGCTCCTTACGTGGATTTTAAAAACAAGTCACTCATTGGCCCCTCGCCACCCGGTTGGGGCCGAGTGACAAGCGCCTTGGAGCCTCCAGCCTCTGCGCGCCGGAGCAGGGCTGGGCCGCAGACGGCGCGCGGGCATCACAACAGCCCGGGCTGCCCAGCTCTCCGCCTCGGAATAAGGAAATCCACCGGCGCGGCCCCGCGGCTGTGCCTGGCGCGCGCGCACGGGTGCGCACACACACTCACGGGTGCGCACACACACACACACACGGGTGCGCACACACACGCGCGCGCGCGCAAACACACACACAGACACACACGCGCGCGCGCGCGCACACGGGTCAAAAGTTGATTCATTCCCGGGATCCCGCGGCACCCGCCTCGACCCCCCTCGGGCGGCCCCGGCCCCCGCGCGCGCCGTGGCGAGGTCGGGGCGCGGGCGGGGCGCGCCGGGCGCGGGGGGCGGCGCGGGGGGCGGCGCGGGGGGCGGTGCGCACCGTGCCGCGCCCGCTCCTGCCGGCCGAGTCCGGGCCGGGTTTTGCGCCGCGTCCCCGGCTCGTCTCGCGGCCTCCAGCCGCCGCCGCGGCCGTGTTTACCGAGCCGCGCGCCCTGGTATCACTCCGCTGGCATGGAGGAGGAGGAGGAGGTGGAGGAGCGCGAGGAGGCGGAGGCGCGGAGCTCGCGATCATTGTGATGGTGGCAGGAGCAGCGGCGGCTGCGGCCCGGCCCGGCGTCAGGGGCTGCTCTCCGCGCGCCGCGCCGCCGAGGACCTCGCCGATCTGCGCCGCGGCCGCCGCGGACCGTCCATGCGCCCCCGGCCCCCCGCCCGAGGACGCGGGGTCCGGGCTCCCGTGAAATGCAGCTGGGCGGCCCGCGCGCGCCGGGAACTCGGGGCGGCACAAACACCAAAACTTTTTTGTGGAAGGAAAATGCACTGAGCGGGCTCGCCGGGGACTGAGTGCGCTCGCGCCGCGCGCCCCGGAGGAGCGGCCGCGGGCCAGGGCGGGCTGCTGGGCTGCGGGGACCCTGCGCGCCGGCCGCCGGGGCCCTCCTGGAATTTACTAGCCGGCCCTGGATGATGAAAAGAAGGCGGGCGAGGCGCGGATCGCCCCTGGAGTTGCGCCCCGATTTGCTGCCGGCGCAGTTTGTTGTGATCCTCCTCGTGGATAGGTGCCCGGTGGCACCCCGAGAACAGCCCCCCCTCTCCCCCGCGAGCTGTACAGTTTAAAAAAAAGGAAACAAAAAAACCACCCCAAAATCTCTCTCCCCCCCCTTTTCTTTTCGCCCCGTCGGGATCGCTGTTTCCATCCATGTGCTTGCGTCTCCCCCGCGTTCCACTTAAACTATTTTAATCCTTGGACCCGAGGAGGAGGCTGATCGGGGGGGTGGATAAAAAAAGTTCTTCCAAAATAGTGTGCCCGGGGCGCAGGATGGGGGATTTCGCGGCCCCCGCGGCCGCCGCGAATGGCAGCAGCGTCTGCATCAACAGCAGCCTGAGCGGCGGCCTCGCCGGCGCCGGCCTCGGCGCGAGTGGCGCGCCCGGCGGTGCGCCCGCGGCCCCGGGCGCCGGCCACCCCGCCGCGGGCTGCGGCGGCTCGGGGGGCCCCGGCTCGGCGGCCGTCCCCAAGCACAGCACCGTGGTGGAGCGGCTCCGCCAGCGCATCGAGGGCTGCCGGCGGCACCACGTCAACTGCGAGAACAGGTACCAGCAGGCTCAGGTGGAGCAGCTGGAGCTGGAGCGCCGGGACACCGTGAGCCTCTACCAGCGCACCCTGGAGCAGCGGGCCAAGAAATCGGGCGCCGGCGCGGGCAAGCAGCCGCACCAGAGCAAACCCCAGCAGGATGCGGAGGCCGCCTCGGCGGAGCAGAGGAACCACACGCTGATCATGGTGAGGGCGCACGGGCGGCGGGCCCGGGGCGCGCGCGGGGGGCGCCCCACGGCGCGCGGGGGGCTGGTGGGCACCGCGGGGGAGGCGGGCGGCAGCCCGAGCCGGAGCGCCAACTTTTCCGCGGGCGGAGCGGCCGGCGCCGCCACCCGGGCATCTGTCAGGGCTGTCACAAGGCGGGGGGCGAGGGGGCGCGAGGGGAGAAGCCGGTCACGGCGGCGCGGGGCGGGGGGAGCCGGAGCGCGGCGCCGGAAAAGTTTTTCTTTCCCCTGTCCCTGCCGTGGACGCCGATTTGAAAGCGAGTGAACCCGGAGTTGAAGCCTCGCTCCTCCTCTGCACCCCACCCCTCGCCGCGCCGCCGCGCCTCCCCAGCCCCGGCCCCCCGCGCCCACCCGCCTCGGCGCGGCCGCCGGGAGCTGGGGGCGGTGGGTGCCCCGGAGGCTCCGGGCGGGCGCCGAGCCCTCCGCCCCTGGTGGGGACGTGGGGGAAGGGAGAGGCTCGGGCCGCCTCTCCCCCGCTCGCCCCCTTTGGGCTGGGAAAGTCTGAGAGTTTTGTGAATGAACTTTGAAGTGGGAGAGGCGCGGGCAGGCTGGCTGCGCGCGTGGCCGCGGGCGCGCGCTGGCGAGGGGCGCGGGTGCGCTCCCTGGCGGCGCAGGCCCTGGGCGGGCCCGGCAGGTGGAGCGGAGGGGGGCCGGGGGAGGGAGCGCCGGGCCGGAGCGCGGGGTGCCGGCCCCGCAACTTCGCCCGGAGCCGGCGCCCGCCCCCTCTGGAACTTGCCGGCCCCGGGCCGTCCGCCTCGCGCCCCCCGGCCCGCCCCCCGCCAACTTTCGGGGCCGCTCTCCTAAACCCGGAGGAGTGGAGCGGAGCCGGGAGGTGAAAGAGGCTTAAATGGCTGGGTGGGTGGGTTCGAGGGAGGCGCAGCAGCCAATGGCCTCAGCGCTCGGGGAGGAAGGCGCAGGTCCCACCCCCAGCCCCCGGGGTAGAATCCTTTCTCTTATCTCCCCTCTCCGGCTCTTCGGCTTTCCTCTGCGCGTGGGGGGAGGCCGGAAGCTCGGAAAGGTGTCTGCGCCCTTCCCCCACCGAGACGGCCGCGCGCGCGCGTGGGGCGGGCCGGGCGCCGGGTGCCCCGGGCTCAGGAGCGCGGAGGGACGTGCGCCCTCCCCGCCCGCCCGATCGGTGGCACGGGCGGCCCTCGCGCCCGCGGCCGGGCCACCGCGCAGTCCCTCGGGGGCGCGTCGCGGGCGCCGGGGGGGCGGGGGGTGCCGGGGCCGCGGCGGGCTCCGTCGGGCCGGGCGCGCGGTGACAAAGAGCCGGCGGGGGAGGGGCGAGGCGAGGCCGCGCGCAGGCTCCCCGCCCCCGCCCCGCACGTGAAGAGGAACAATTTGTTTATCTTGGGCCGGAGCAGCTTCCCTCCTCCCCGGGCTCCGGGCCGCGCGGCCCCGCCTCCTCCCCGCCCCGCCCGGCGACCCGGCCGCGTCCCGCCGGCAGCGCCTCCCTCCTCGCCTCTCCCCTCCCCTCGGCTGCCTCCGCCCTCCGCCCTCCCTTCTTTCCTGGGCGGCCGTGGGGGAAGGAGCGGGAGGCGCTTTGTCAGCCCCGCGGCCGGGCCCCCGCCCGCGCGCCCGCCGCCGTGCGCCCCCGTGCGCCCCCGAGCGCGGGGAGGGGGCTCGGGGAAGAGCCGCGGGCCAGCCGGAGCCGGGGAGGGAGGTTCTCCCGTGCAAACAGGAAGCCGAAAACCGCCGGCCCGCGGCAGCCCTTCGGATTGTCCCCAGGGGCGGGGCGGGGCCTGCGTCCGGGTCGGGCCCCCGCGCCCCGGCGACCCCGGCTGCGCTCCGCGGGCGTCCCTCCCCCGCCCCTGGGGCGCCCGGCCCCGGGCGCAGGACGCGCCGGGCGAGCCTGACCGCGCAGTCGGGCCGGAGAGGCCCCGAGCGGGTCGTCCTGGCCTCCCCCGCGCCCCCCGCGCGTGGGCACCCCGCGCGCACGAGCGCGGGGCCGAGGCTGCTCGCGGGGCTCCGGGAGCGCGGTCCCCGGACGCCTGCCCGGGGCTCGCCGCGCGCTCCCCTCGCCGGCCGGGCGCCGCGGGAACAAAAGCCGGTGCCCGTCCGGCGCGGGTCGCTTTTGATCGCGCGCGGGAGGAGGAGAGTCCGGGGCCGCAAAGTTTTCCCACTTGGGTCATGTTCTCAAGGAGGACGGTGTGGGCCCTCGAAGGATGGAGGGAAAATCGGGGTGCGCGCTTGGGCAGGCATGCGCCCGCAGGTGGAGGCGAGCCCCGGAGCCCGACGTTACCTGCAGAGAGTGGCGAGAGCAAGCCAGGCTCACTCTGGAACCTGGAAAGGTGCTCGCTTGGGCAGGAGAGACCTCGGCTGAGGGGTTCCTGGTGACTCCCAGTTCAGCAAGTTAACGGGTAGACGTGAAAAGCGATTGCCTGAAAATCACATTTTTTTCCCCCAGCAATTTTGTGACAGTAATTCAGCTTATTGATTAGACTGAGGTAAACGCCAAGACGCCGCATGGAGCGGGAGTAAATCCTGACTCACCCTGCATTGTGCACACGCAGCCCTGCTGGCACCGTGTGTGTTCTGAGGTGTGTGATGGAAATAAATGGCCGTAAATCTTAGGAGTTTTATGTAAATTCCGTATGCCACAAAAAGGGAAAAAGACAGCCTCGTCCTCTACAAGTTATTTTTCCTTTCAAAATAATTAGTTTAAAAATTCACATGGACCCCTCAAGTGAAAGTGTGTTTCCTTGGGCCTGCGTGCGAGGTAATCTGGAAAACAGACATTGCAAAGAATAGGTTCATACTCACTTTCTTGAATTGGGTGCGGGGTGGCAGGTGTGCTCTGGGGGGGTGGCCAGAGCAATTCTATTGAGTTCCCAGCTTGGCCTGTCTGTTTGGAAAGCCCTAAAGAAAAGCAGGAATCAGCCAGGGCCAAATAATAATAATGGCGATGATAAAAATGAAGAAGAATCGTATTCCTTCCAGCTTTATTGCTCTTGTTTCCCTTCGTAGGGCCAATATGTCCCAGGTACTAAATATCGATTAACTCTCTCTCTGCCCGGCTTGGGTTAAGAAGGCAGACTAATCAGAGCTGCGTGCCTTTTGATTTGTTTTCTTATCTTATACACTTACAAGCATAGGCAGGAAAAACAAACGAGCTAAGAAAAAGCAGGGTGGGTGATGCTAGAAAGAAAAACCTTCCTTGCCTCCAGGCTGCTGGGAGGAGCCTGGGTTTCATCCGAGAGTCCCTAACAGCCCTGTTGGAGACCCGGTCTGAAGCCGCATGACCTCTCGTCACAGTAGCTTCTGGGTTCCGGCCTTGTGGTGGGGTGACACAGCTCCTCTGCACCCCCACTTTAGGCAGAAGCCCCTCAGCCCTCACCCCCAATCGTGGGTGAGAACTGTTGATTCACCTTGTAGAGTCTCTGTTGAAAAGGTGTCTTTTCCTAAAATAGGTTTAATTATTGGTGGCACCAGAAGGAGACACTGTTCATTCTTTGTACCTGGGACTGAAGTCCTGGCTAAAAATTTAAGCAAATTCCAATGGACAAATTCATTTTCAAGCCACAGGTATGTAGATTTCTCAAAGGAGTAATCATCCACGCCCACGGGGAAATGCAGGCATTGAATTTCAAAATGGTGGCAGGCTTGCTTGAGCCTGGAAAGCCACGTTTCCCCCCCATACACACACATTCTCACGCTTTCAGAGTGTGTTTAGTGTATACACTGCCTACAGACGACATAAATCCGTGACACCTGCCCTGAAGAGTTTATCACGTAAAATCCACTTGATGATAATTGTATTGATTACTGAGAAGGCAGCAACTTCTCTGGAATGTTCTCAGCCACTCCTGGAATGGGCCCAGGAAATGTCAACCGATTAGTCCGGTGCTAACCCTCCTGATAAATGAACTGGTTTGCCATTTCTTATCCTGTCGAAGGTAAATTACTGGCTCAGGATCCAGGCTTTTGGGCCAACTTGTCATGTCAGAACATTTCTACATCTTTTCTGGGCACTTCTTCCTGTTCTGCTGCTGTCCTGAGTGATGCACGGTTGTGTCTTGAGAGACCTCCCACAACCCACGCAGGGTGTGCCTTGAGTTCATGAAAAACTTCTCGAAATGTCTTTTCTCGCTGCATCACAAGTGTTTGTCTTTTAACTCTCAAGAAGCATGTTTTGGAAGAAGCTGCGATCCGTGCTTAATTATGGTATTTATGTTCTTTGGTTATGACACATTTTATTTGGTACAGCGATCAGCCAGTTAATCATTAATCATCATCTACAAAATGTTCCTCAGCCTGACTTCCTTCCCAGGCAAAGCTGAGTTTCCAGGCAGGTGGTATATGTGCTACTTTCCATCCTGGCTCAGAGTGAGAAGGTCAAGTTTTGGAATTTTTGTAGTTTTCTATCCCTGATAGGAGGGAAATGAACAGTCCAACTTCATGGTTTGCTGACATTTCGGCACCAAAAGGCCTGTGGATTTGAAACACTAAAACGGAGTTATGCGGTTATTTTCCGAATCCCTCTCTGACTCCACCTTTTGTTTTTAAAGACATTTCCTGACCTGGCTCTTCCATCTTGTTGAGATAAGAATGTGGGCTCCCCCCACCTTCCCTTTCTCCTGCTCCCCCCCCCCACTACTCTGTCACAGAATGTACTGTAGTCTATGAAACCATTTTGCCCGTTACATAGTAATTCTTGGACACATTTGAAGTACTTGTGTTTTATTTTTAAGATTTATTTATTTATTTATACAAGCACTGGGTACAGTCAGGAGCACAGGAGGGTGACAGAATTCACCAGAGCCAGAGCGGGGAGCAGAACAGGCAGACTGATGAAGTACACTGCTGAGGGGAGCAGCGGGTGCGGCAGGAGAGGTCTGCCGGCCATGTTGAATCCTCGCCGGAGGCTGGGGATCGAACCAGCGCTGCAGAGGCTGCGGGCAGCTTCACAACCCAGCGCTCAACCGCTGCGCCACCAGGGAGGCCCTGAAGTACTTGTGTTTT